CTCTATACCTATTTTACTCTTCTCTTTTATTCTTTTTATTTCTTTTGCTTTAACAAGTACTTTCTCTTCCTTTTTGCCGACTACCTCTTCTATGTGTCTTTTCCCAAAGATCAATTTTGTTCCCTTTTCTGTATTTTGAACTATGTTTGAAATGTCTCTAAGTTTTCTACGTTTAACCATGTAAGTTTCACTTTTTTCATCAATTTCTAATACTATTGCATGTCATTTTCATGACAATTTGTTGTTTCTTTGTATTTTTCAACTTCTACATAAGCATTTTCTTTTTCTTTAACCTTTTCTACATTGAGTACTGCATTTGCTTCATCTCTCCAACAAACCCATTCTGTCAGCACTTGGTTCTTTTGTCTCTAAGCTAAATGCATTAACGTTATTTGCTTCACAGTTATATCTATTTTTGACTACTTGTGTGAGGGGATTTTCTAGCATTTCTCTTTCCAGTCTAACAAACCAGTCTGCTTTTTTTCCTTTTAAACTCATGCCACCTGCAAATTTAACTTGATTCCATGTATACATTGTTTTACTATCCTTTGCAATGAGTTGTGAAACCAAGGTTAGACCCAGGCTGTTTGCTTTCGTTTCCTCATAAGCTATATTTAGACGCTCAAAGACACATGCAATTTTTTCATCATTTACCTCTTGTGTGATATCTAAGTTCCAACTTTTTGTAATTTCATTTTCTTCTATTACAAAGCCTGGAATATGTGCTTGTTGCAAAATATTCATTTCTAAATTGCGATCTTTCGTTTCTTTTGCCAATACATTCTGATTTGTTAGAATACAGTTCAAAGATCCTGTTCTTAACTAGCCTTGTTTAAGTCTTCTTGCTGACGATTCTTCTAATAAACCTGGTGTATTTAGTCTAACCACTAGCTCTGATATATGATGCTCCATGTGTCTATTCCAAAGACTTTTGAGATCTGTTATCTCTGGGTGTTTTGTTATTATATTCACTATCGTGGAAAGAATCGACATTTTCCATTTTATTAGCTAAATCATTGGCTGATATATTCTCTTGCACTGTGCTTTAGTTAGATATGAAATCATTAATCTATACTCTAAAGTAGGTATAAGAATTGCATTGTTTACGTATATAATCTGGCTCAAAGACATCTGTTTGTGCTTTAGTAGATCTGTGATCTTGCCTACTATACTTCGTGCTTTGAATATATTAGACTTTTTCTGATTCTTGGTTGAGATCCAGATCCCTAAGAATTTTGTAGTTTCTTTAGGATCTTTTGCTAAAATTCTGATTCTCAAAATTAAAGATATTGTTTGATTTATCTAAAATTTTTTTAACTAGAGATATTTTTATATTATTTATGTATGCTTCAGTGTTTCAGCCTAAACCTCTCCCCAAAGTCTGAAATGTTTCGCTAAGAGGAATTTTAATTTCACTCTATAAATCCAAACCCTCCAAAAATAGTTCGCCCAATTTGATCTGCAAATGATCTGTAAAATCAGGTTTAGCCTAAAACACTAGTGTGCGTAGGCATTTAATTATACTTTGCACTGGACAAATTTTCTAACAAATTAAATAGATTGAGTTTATTGAAATACCAATAACAAGGTTTCCTTGGTAGACAAAATTTTTTTAAAAAATGTCTTTATGTCTAGATGTTATTACAACTACAGTTGTCCCTCCATATAGTCATCTCCTATATAATTATATTATATATAATCACATTTTTATTTAGGTCAAACTATAATTTAATTTATAAAAAAAAAACCTCTATATAAGCACAACCCCTCTATAAACATATTTTTTAAAAAAGTTACTATGTGCCCAACTGTGTGATTGTATAGGAGAATGACTATATAATGTATATTATAAATATCAGCTCATCTAGTTACTAATTTAAGTATCTATGTGCGACCTGCTATATGCGATTTTACTTTCTTATTAACTGTCCTGCAATTAGACCAGTTACTAAATTACTGAATAGTTCTCAAACCTATTAGTAATAATAATACCCATAATCTTGATATAGTGATTAGGGTATTATATCATATATATCCTGCTTATATTCTACTATACAATATCCACTAACTAACTTCTATCTCTCATCACTTATTACATTACTCCTAATTTATTTCTTGTATAACTTCCAAATTGGTGTTTTTTGAGTGGGCACTATTGGTGCTTCCAGTTTGGTATTTTTAAAGAAGCTACTTTAAGAACCTAATCTGTATCTTAAGCAGGTGCTGCCAGGTCATAAGACTTATATTTCAAGCCATCTACTGCTATACTAGGGTGTTATTTTGTATTAATTCAGGTATTTACATCATACATCATCAAATTAGACTGTTACTTCTTTTATATACTTCCTATTAGTATAGTGTTACAGAAGTATAGATTCTTAGGATGGGAGTTAAGTGTCTTATTTAATTACTATCACAAGCCAGTAATTCAGGACCTGTGCTTCTGCCATATTTTGTTATTAACTTCTATATAGATTGTGTGACATATTACTTACTAGCTGTTTTTATTTTCATACTACTAGAGTGTTTGCTTCTATACTTCATAGGGTTTTTTTTGCCAGTTTTCCTTGTTTTTTTGCACTAGAGGTGTTCTATATTTGGTAAAGTCATTTCCTTACCACAGCTCTTACTATGTTTACTGCTTCTTTTACTATTTTTGAATATATTGTGTTTAGCCGTTCTTCTAATCAAGATCCTAATACCACCTTAGAGTTGTTGGTGTTACTTTACCAATTATGAATTCACACACATAGCTTTCTGCAGTATTACCTTTTATAACCCATGTCATATGCAGTACTCAGTTTTCTTTATAGCTCAGAACTCCTTGCAAAAACCAAATATATATATCACATGGTCTTATTACTACAAAGCTTTATATTCAAAAGCTCTCAAAATTTACAAAGATAATTAATTAAATTAATTATTACCAGCTTTAATCAAACTATTAACCCCATCCATGGCATCTAGACCACTAAGGCTACAAGATCCTAACACCTAGGCTTACACATAGGCCTGGGCTATCCATGGGTACCCATAGGTAGTACCATAAAGGCTGGGCCAAAATACTGATTTCTGGGCCCTTAGATAATAGTAAGGGCCCAGGTGCTGAGCCTTTACAAAGCTGGGTAGAGCTTGGGTAATACTACTTACTGCCCTTTTGGTCACGGGTACCTGTTAACATATTTTACATGATCAAAAACCAATCAGAATACAGATGCATAATACATATATATATGTATAATTACTAATTCTTACATTCTTTGGAAATTTTTTCCACTTTATGATAACTAATAACGCACTAAATTGTTGACACCAAATACACTCTTAATTACCAATGCCCAACACTTTTAATTACTAATTCCCAATTCTCTAAATTACCACCGCTCAATACTCAAAATTACCAATACCTAATGCTCTAATATACTTAAGTACTAAGGGCTAAAATTCAGCACACTATAAGGTAACACACTAAAGTACATACCAATGTACTAAGGTACACATCAATGCACTAAAGTACCAATATATTAAAGTAGCATATTAAGGTAGCAACACATTAAAGTATCAATATATTAAAGTATCAACGTATTAAAGTATCAATGTATTAAAGTATTAATATATTAAAGTATTAAAGTATTAACGTATTAAAGTTTCTATGGATGAAAGTATTAAAGTTTCAATATATACTTACCAATAAGACAATAAGACTAGTGAAAAGCTGCAGTATATTATAATTATTTTAATAAAACTTTTTTGAAATACTTTAAATCTTTGTGAAAATAAAAAATTAATATTAAACATTTACCAAACACTATTAAGCCTGTTAATATGGATAACCCTAGGAATAATTATTACGATCTTGCAAATATAAATAACTCAATAAATAATCACAATGAGCCTGCTAATATGGATGACACTATAGATAGCCATGAAATCGATGACTGTAATATTGACTCTGCCTCAACATTATTTGTATTAGCATCATCTATCACTGACTTGGATACTGTCTCGATTAACAGCTCAACTACTAATGAAACCACCAATAGGGCCATTAGCCAAACTTACAGTGAAACCTCTAGTTAACTTATATCATTAAAGCATACATCTACTGTATAGAATTGTTTTTCCAAAGTAACTAATGAAAAAAACGAAGAAAAAGCCTAATGTAACTATTGTACATAGTTTTTAAATCACAAAAAAGGATGTAGAACTTCTCATCTTTGGCATCATCTTGATACCTGTCTTAATAGTTGATTGAGATATTACGTAGATCAGGTGAATAAAATTTTTACTATGAAATTTGAGTGATCAACACTTATATAAAAATTTCGATTTCATAGTAAATTGCAATAATTAGCTATTTCCAATCATTGTTTTCAGGGGTTTTCTAAAAGGAAACTACACTCATGGGATATATTGCATATTAGAATTTTTAAATATTATGTGATGAGTAAGTTAAAGCAAGATAAAAAATTAAAATTTAAAAGAATCTTGCCCACAAAGATAGGCTTCCGTTTCACATTCTATAGCACTTTAAGTACAATAGATCTTAACATTTCGCTAATTTATGAAGGCTTTAATAAAAATATAAGTATTTTTAATGTTAATAACCTCACTTTGACTTTAATTTACTAAAAGTACAACTATTTAAAAATCTCATCTGCAATTTTGTAGTACCTACATAGCAAAAAAAAGAATAAACCTATTAAGATCATATGTGTTATAAGAATTTACCATTAAAACTATTAGTAGAAGATAGTTAGTTACAAGCTACAAAAGTGTTAGTATGTGCGCAAGTATATTTGTCAAGTCGAATAATCAAGTTGGTTTTAAATTTTTAATAATAATGCTTATAGTATAAAAATTTTTTAGCTACTACTGTATTAAGCCAACGATTCTGTTATATATTAATATTGAGAATATACTGTAGATAGTTTTAGCTGTGAATTTTTTTTTTTATATATATAATAAAAAAAAGTATATATTATTATAATAAATTTTTTGCACTTATAATTATAATAAATTTTTAATTTATTGAAATAGTATTATTATTATCAAATTTTAACACAATATCTTAAATTAATCTATTTAATCATCTAATTTATTTTTGAATTTAGCACAGAACCATATTCTAAACACTTCGTATACAACATCAAATATAGAAAAAAAATTTAATTTTGATAGTACAGTATGAAACTAAAAAGTAGCAGATTCATATTATTTTATATCACATTTCACCAACAAGCTTATTTTACAAACTATTAATTTACAAGTTTATTTTATAGATAGTATATTTTATTAGCATCTTATTTCATAGACTAGTTTTTTATAAACCACACTAACTTTTAATTCTAAAGCTAATTATAACTAGAGTAGGAGGCACGGGGTCCCTGGGCATGCCCATGAGGCATGCCTTTGGGCCAAAAGGCATGCTCATATCATGTAATCACAAAGAAATAACGGCACATATGATTGGCTAATGTAAATCTAATTTAATTTATTGTAAATACTGTATTTTACAAATGCAATTACTTATAAATGCGAGTCTTATACCAACTTCTAATGATTCCCAAAATAATTTATCTCGACCTCTTTGCGCCTTCTGCATAATATTAATGGATAATAATTATCTCGCAATTTTATAATCAGCATTACAATCACTGTTCTGTCTGCACAATACTACCATAATAACTATCTCGTGACCTCAATAATTAATGTATAACAATTACCTTGCAATCTACAATAATCAACCCAATTATAGAATTCTCTAATTTGTATACATAATCTAATTAAGGTCTTAAATCTGCGATCGTGAGTTAAATAATTTTCTATTTTTGTTATTACGGCTTCAGTTTAGACCATCTATAATCTACTAAATAAGGAATATAAATAATATAAGACCAATAGCTAAATATAGGATAAAAAAATATAGTAATGAAAAATTATGGTCTGCGAAAAAAGAAAGAAACTTTAACAATGTGATTATCTCGCATCTACAATAATCAACCCCAATATGGAATTCTC